TATATATATATTTCATCTGACTAGCATCGATTTATCAGAATCGATTTTATTCCCATTCCTCTTTCCAATTTCCCCCCACCATCATCACCAACCTTGTTATTTAACCAGAGGAAAGCCTGAAATAAGTATTAAAATACTATGCACTCTGGTGTCTGTACTTTCAGGCCAATGGCGAATTACGTTTCGTGATGCGAATAGATAACGTGGGACACACGATAGAATTTTACGTAGGATGTCCAGTAACATTCATGGAGATCCAGTGACGGAAGGGAAAAAAAAAGAATGTATAGAGAGAGAGTGAGGGAAAAGGGGGGAACGAGGGCATTCATATAACTTACCTAACGATCATGGCGTCCATCGAATTTTTTATATTCGTTCCACATTTCCCCCCACCCCCACACCCCTCTCTTTCTCTCTTATTCTATTCGCCTGTTGTTTTGTTTTTTTTTTTTTTCATTTTCATTTTCATCTCCTCTCTTTTTATATTTTGTATTTTGTCTTTTTAATAATCGTTCGTAGATTATTTTTATTCTCGTATCAAATCTCACACCCACACACCCCCAGTCTTGTTTTTTAAACGAGATTTTGTTTGCTCGAAGAATATTTTCATTTTCTTTACTATTTTATTTTTCTTTTTCTTTTTCTTTTTTTTTTATATATATATATATACCGATGCAAGTTTATCCGATAAATTTGAAATAACTCTTGTACACTTATACACATATATATATATATATATTTTTTTTTTGAGATGAGAAGGTAAGAATCGATTTTTTCGAACGATGTGACTTCAATATCTAATCTTCATACGTATATACACATATACATACAAGCTGTCTGTATACACTTGACTTATATATCTATAAGAACCTGTAACCGTATGTGTTATGTATATATATATATATATATTCCTCTCTCTTTCTCTCTCTCTTTTTATCCATCTTACTGTCTACCTTTCGTTTCACACCGTAGGTAAACTATATTTAAATTTTCAAGCAAGCTAAAGGATACTTGTATTATAAAACGTAGCGACGTATCCTATTTTTCGATTTATCGTCAACATTTTTATCGATACTCGACAACAGACAAGTTTATTTTCGAATGAAGAAAACAACCGTATTATAATTTTTCTTTATAACGTACTTCGAAATAATATGAACAGATAAATGTCATTGATAGTATATTAATCTATAATGTCAGCCATTTAATTTTGATTCTAACCTAACTCCCATTTTTTTTTTGCAAAACAGTTTCTTTTAACGATTATACTTCCATTAAATGTTATTACGATCAACAAAAAAAAAAGAAATATTAAAATGTATTTAATTTATTTATATTTAATCAAAGACACATATCTTAATATATATAAATTACGTGTCACGTTGTTTATACGCAATGGACTCTTAAACTACTGAACCGATTTTAATCAAATTTTGCACACTTTGTGCAGTCTCATCCAACTTGAAAGATAGGATAGTTTAGATCTTAATTTATAATTGAAATATTATTTTATTGCGAATTATTTGTTTATTAACAAAGACGTGTGTATTGGACTGATTGTGAACCACAGCAACGCGTGGCGGGGCACCCCCAGTTCAGTATAAATTAATGAACAATAACAAATGTATTTGATTTAATTCGCGATCGAAATAAAACATTTGAAAATCGATTCATTTAACCTAACCTATATTTCTTTGTTATGAAGAAGATAGAATTACAACAGAAAGAGCAAGAGAGAATGTATGTATGTGTTTATTCGTTTTAAGATTCATGAACAATAACAAATGTATTTTATTTAATTTGCGATCGAAATAATACATTTTAAAATCGACTTGTTTAACCTAACCTATATTTTTTTTTCTGTTACGAAGAAAATGGAAGTACAACAAAGAGAGATAGAGAGAGATAGAGAGAGAGAATGTATATACGTGTGTATTCGTTTTAACGGAGAGAACCAACTGTAATCTGTGTACTCGTAATAAGTTTTGCGTGGTTAGCAGCTGACCATGCATGGAATTCATTATGCCGAAACAAATATGTAAATCTCCATATATTCCTAGCGTGGTTACACATACGTACATTATTCGTTGTATACGAAGAGAGAGAATGAGAGAGAGAGAGAGAGAGAGAGAGAGAGAAAACGGTGCACGTAACATGGAAGATGCAAATATGTTTCGTCCAAAACCAGTTGCAGTGGCGACCGTTGGGCGACAGTAGGGGGCAACCGTTGGGCGACCGTTCTACTAACGTTTAAAAAACTTATCTGCATGCAACGTTCTATTCTAACAGACATAACGTTAATAACATAACCTCTACATTTTTATTATAGTTTAACTTACATCTACCTGAGAACCTTTTGAAATCGTCGTTGACAAGCTTGTTTTACGATTACAACGATTGTTTTAGTCGTTTAACATTTTGGGGGAGGTTATCTATTTCTCTTTCTTGTTTTTAGTTTTTTTTTTTTTTTTTTAGGTTAGGAAAAATGATTCGAAAGAAATATCTTTGTTTCAGCATTTGGTAATATTTTTTTCTACGAATAATTTTGACGACGTATTCTTTATATGTTATTTTTCTTTTTTGTTTTTTTTAATAATTCGATTATACAAATCACGTTCGTTATTAAAAAATATTGATTTCCGATAGTTTTTTAATTTTTTATTATTTTTTTATATATATATGTATGTATGTAGAAAAGTGATGTACGATGATTTTGATTAGTTTCGACCAAAATGTTATTTTATTGTACTTTACTTTTTCTATTTTTTTAAAAACGTACCATTATTTATTTGCCTTTATTCATATAAACATTTAAAAAATTTTTTTAATCATCGAACAGAGAGAGAGAGAGAGAGAAAGAGAAAGAAAGAATATGTTTCTTTCTTTTTTTATGTTTTTTTTTTTATTAAATTTCCAATCGTTCACGTTACGAAATGCTTTTGTATGAAATATTTCTACGTTATCTTTTCATTTTTAAATATTACGTTTGGGACGTTATTAATTATTGGTTATTCATAGTTTCCTACAAATGATATCATTCGCGACAAAATTGCAATTAATTTGTTTATAACAAAAATTCAGTTCCTTTTTTTTCTTTTTTTTTTTTTCCTAATCCAAAGAAACATCCATTTTTTTTTTTTACAAACATTTTGCATAGACACATTTGTAATCTTCTCGATCAAGTATATTAATAATAATAATAATAATAATAAAAATCAATTAACATCAATCGTTATATTATTGAATTATTCTAATCATACTTTCCTTTCTTTTATTAGACATTTTTTCCGATAAATTTCAATAACGAAATATTTCGTCTAAACATAAATCATTGATTTATTCGCACGAATATTTTACAAAGTACTCTACTTACATAAAAAAAAAAAAATAATAATAATAATTAATAAAGGAATCGTTGAATTATCCAAACCTTCATTCGGTCAACTCTCTCCTACCACCCTCTCTTCACAATCCTGTATAGTAATACAGTTTGTTATAATATGATTAAAAATTCCTTGATGTRTATGTGTATGTGTATGTGTGTGTCCTCTTCTTTCAACATAAAAATTCAATTCAATTTGAATCGAGTTTGTTGATCGTAGGTAACAACTATTATCATCCATGCGTTCATTCGTTCGTAACAAAACAGAAACAAACCGTACCACTTTTTTTATTTATTTCTTTTTTTTATTTTTTTATTTTTTTTTATTTTTTATTTTTTCACCTGACGTACGCCATGTTAACCAACAACGAGAAAGAAATAAAGAAATAGAAAAAGGAAAGAAATAGAAAGAACGAGATGGATAGTACATACATTTTTTTTCGTTGATTCATCTCGTACTCGAGATTGAAATGCAGTCGGCGAGGCGCAATTATACGGTAGGCAGAGGTAATTAGAATAATTCCCTTTGTATCTATTTACCATAGACCCTTCAATAATGCCGTTCCTGCTTGTAGAAACTCACCGAAAAAAACTCTACTACTACTGCTACTGCTGCTACTGCTGCTACTGACTACTTCCTTATAAACGCAATTACACTAGAATATACACGTTTTTTATCCGCAACATTCTTTTTCCCTCCTTTTCCTCTCGGTTTTTCTCTCTCTCTTTCTTTTTTTTTTTGTTTTGTTTGTTTTGTTCTTTGTTTTGTTTCTACCTTCTTTTCTTTTTCTTTTTTTTGGGGGGGTGGGGAGGGGAGGTGAGGGGGGAACCGGGAAAAGTTGTCCTTTTTTTTCTTTTCTTTTCATTGTGTAACAAAAATTTCGTATTAATTAGAACGGGACGTTATGAAAATGAACGAGACTCTACGAGATTTTCACGTAGTCCTTTGATATTCTTTCGTTTTTCAACTGTATAACTGTAAAAACTATTTTTTTATATAGAAAATATAAAAAAATAAAATATATGATAAATAAGGAAAGGGAGGAGGGGACATATGAACGACTCATGAGATTTGCACATGGTCATTTGATATTCTTTCGTTTTCTAACTGTATAACTGTATAAATTATTTTTTTATATAACAAAATAAAAGAATAGGTAAAAAAGGGTGAACAAGGGGTACATATGAACGACTCACGAGATTTGCAAGTGATTCTTTGATGGTATTTCGTTTTAACTGTATAACTGTATAATCTTTTTTTTATATTAAAAAAAGGAACAAACAATTAATAAAATTAATAAAAAAAAAGAGGGTGAGAGAAGCATATCAACGACTTACGAAATTTGCTCGTGGTCCTTTGATATTCTTCCATTATTTAACTGTATAACTGTAAAAACTATTTTTTATGTAAAAAAATAAAAGAATTAATAAAAAAGGAAAGCGATGGGGAGTGCATATGGACGACTCACGAGATTTGCACGTGGTCCTTTGATATTCTTTCATTTTCTAACTGTATAACTGTATAAATTATTTTTTTATATGAAAAAATAAAAGAATAAGTAAAAATGGGTGAAAAAGAAGTACATATGAACGACTCACGAGATTGTCAGGTGGTTGTTTGATATTATTTCGTTTTTTTTAAGTGTATAACTGTAAAAACTAGTTTTTTATATAGAAAATATAAAAAGATAAAAGAATTGATAAAAACGGAAAAGAAATGGGGGTTGCATATGAACGATTCACGAGATTGGCACGTGGTCCTTTGATACTCTTTTATTTTTCAACTGTATAACTGTAAAAACTATTTTTTTATATAAAAAGATAAAAGAATAGATGAAAAAGGAAAGCGA